TCTAGTCACTTGGATGTTAGTTATTATTATTGTTATTTACTAATTATCCTTACACTAGAGATCATTTATTAAAGGTTATCTACGATACCTAGTGTAAGTGTACAGCAGTACAGGTATGCTACAACTAATGATATGGCTATGGTACTTAATAAGTGCCTATATAAATTTTTTGACTTCTTAATATTTATCGATTAATATCATAATTATCATACCTTTTGATCATTACTCAAAATTACTCATTTGTTATTTGAATTAATAGGTACATATAGGTACATGTTTTATATGATATAATTATAGTTGTTAATATGTTAAATAGTCTTAAAAATCATATCATGTTGAAGTCCTCAAGTAATTTAGGTTAGGTGTATTAGAAATAATTATTAGTAGGTAGGTACCTATTATCGTTACCTATTTATATTGTATTATATCTATTAAAGTGTACAATTTATAGTTTATATTCTATGATTAACCTATGTAATTTATTTAGTTTATATGATTTGAAATCGTTAAATGTACTTTTACTTAGCAGGGGATAGCCGATAGGGTGTTAATAAATAAATATTAACAATAAATATTAGATTGACCCCTCCTAAATCATATCATTATACAATCAATACCTATATGAAAAATGGCATTACATCTATTTGGGTGCATATATATATATATGTATACTTAAAAGTTAAATCTGCAATAGATAATATAATAAGTACTTACTATTGTTACCCAAATTTTTTTATGCATGTAATAGAAACATGCTAAGTACAGTTCTGTAACCTTAATTATAAACCTTATAACATAGAAACCTAAGTAGAATGTAGATTGTAGATATATGTGTAATGTGTATATTTAGGTATAAAGGTAGGTTACTTACTATGAAAACAAATTTTAACTGTAAATTATCTTGATTTATAGAATTAGAAATACATTCATTTGCAACAATTATTAATAAAAATATGTACTTTAAACTAAAATACACCATTTTGTATTTAATATTAGTATTACTTTGTTAGTATTTTAAAATAAATAATAAGAATCTCCGATAAGCTAAACAATATTGTACTCACGACACGAGATATATAGTTAGTGTGGTTAATATTATGTTTGTTTGCTGTACCTAAATAAATGTTTTTAACTCACACCTTTAGACTCTATTAATCTAATATTAATTAATCCATCATGCATACAGAGTGATACTTTTAACATACTACATATTATGTTATCTCAGTTAAGTTGTGAACATTTAAATATTTTATATCAATACAATTTTTTTTTTTAATTTAAATTTGAAATAGGTAAAAATTTTTGATTTATATTTTTTTCAACCACATTGGTTTAAGGTACCTATCATATTTTTAGAATTTATAGGTGTTATTTAAAAAATTAAAGTTTAAATGATAACTCATATAATTTTTAATTTTTGTAGGTATGTTTCGAAAATGAACAGCACTGAAAATGTCGATGTTTATTAATCAAATAATTATCATTTGTTATTTAGGTAAGTACTTCTAATTTTTATGCACTCTTAAAAAAATAAATAAAATATTAGAGTAAGATAAAAGTTTCTCATTAAATATTATCGAGGATTATTATAATGAATATGTGTAATCTGTTTATTTAAACTCGAAATGTTTATTACAAGGAAGCAACTATTGATTTAATGCTTATTCAATATTTATACAACAATGCAATACAAATAAAATATTCTATTTTGATCTTTAAGTATAAATAATAATTATAAATTAACCACATGGATCACAAAAAAGAAAAGAAAAAAATACCTTATAACTTAAAATACGACGGAAAATAATAAAAAATAAATTTTAAATACACCTAAAATATTTAAGATTACAAAAGCAAATGTTTTTATGAATACTGAAGTACACAAAAAATTATTAGGAAATTTAGTGTACCTAAATGAATAAATTGAATCCCGGAAGAAGTAATAAAACCATATTAAAATATCTTTAAACATGTTCTATTATTAAAGAAAAATCAATTTTCAAAATAATTGCAGTTCTAATATAATCTAACCTATTTGTAAATTGAGGGGGAGGGGCGTAGAACTTAAAGGTGATTAATATGTTTATAATTTATGTCATTTGTGGTCTAATAAAAAAAAATATGGGGTCTCAGATCTCAGCACACCCAGTTGTAGCATTATTCCTTTATAGACTTAAAGTAGGTATTCCAGAACAATGACATGCCGTACTTTTCGTGGTATTACTAATTGAAATAATTTTTACTTTTTTGCAATATAAGTTCTTCAATACCTATTTTTTCAAGGCCTTTATTCGATTTAAAAATGTATATTTCTATAAATTAACAATAAGCTAAAAATAATAATTTGTAAAACAGATTAATGACTGACAACATGCAGTTAACAGACAAAAATTTTATTCACTCGAATAATAACAATAAAATTAAAATTACAGAATAAAAGAAAATATGAAAAGTTCTTCATAGAGAACTTTTAGCAGCTACTAATTACTAAAATAACTTACTCTTTATTATACCTACTACATGTTATAGCTTATTAAAACTAAACTAAAACATAACAAACATTGAAAATAAATAAATAAATATAATTGCATGTTTTAATATTTTTATCAGTGATTTTTTTTTAAAAATATTTTTTTATTCTTGTTATTATATTTTTGGTTTTATTTTTTGTTATTTATTCATTTATTATTTTTTCTGTAGTATTTTTTACCAACTTCTATTTATGTTGTGTTAAATGAATCACTCAATATAGGTACATAGATATGAATATATAACACGCAATTTATAGGTACTTTAAAACCTATTAAAGTGAGACTTCTTTAGATAACAGCGATAGCTCAACAAAGTAGTTTTGTAAGAACTGCAAATTTTTTTAAAGTAAAATAATTAGGTTTATATTTATTGAAAAAAGTGTAAATAACATTACGATTTATATAGTTATATAGTAACACCAAAGAATTTTGCAGTAACATGCTTGCACATTTTCTATATTTTGTACCTTCAAAATGATAACATTAACATATTAACATTTATTAGATTGACTAAATTATAAGTTCTATAGGTGGGCTTATATTTTACGACAGGGGTCACCAATTAATATTTTTGAATGGTCATATTAGGAATTTGAAATTTTTCGCGGGCCGTACAAATAATTTTAAGAATGTATTTTTAACATATAAGTAAGACTAACGATATAGGCGTAAGCACTAAATAAATAAATATTAAAAATTGATGATGCGCATTTCCCACTATAAACATTAGACTCTAGTGTTAACTATAATGACTACTTAATAAAAAAAACTACGAATTTAATTTTTCTTGCAGTAGATATAATGATATGAATAAATATTTATGTTCCGTTGACTGGCGTTTTGCTTTTTATGGAAATTTAATATTTCATTTGTAATTGATAAATTTTATGATATTGTCTATAACTCATTAGAAATATTTATTCCTAAATTCATAAGTAATAACACTTTCCCTAAATGGTATAGTAAAAAATTGAAACATGATTTTTGAAAAGAAGTGTCTTCATAAACTATTTGAATATACAAATAATTACAACTTACAAGTATTATCTGGGTTTTTTTAAACTACGAACATTATGCAAAATTTAATCTAAATTAAGTTATAATTCTTTTATAAATAATATTCAAGCTCATCTATCACATTATTCAAAGACTTTCTGGAGTTATATTAAACATTTAAAGAACAATAATAATTTTATATCTATTATGGAAGTGGATAGTGGATAATATAAGTAAATGACTCCAAAATATCTGAATTATTTAAAAAGTACTTACTACTTAAGCTCAGTATTCTCAGATGATATTTATTATTCAAATCAATATTCCGCCCACAGTTACCTGATATGATATAAGTTATTTATCCGATATATAGTTCTACCTTTTAGAAATTTTTTTTTAGGATTGAGTGGTTTAAACTTTAGTTGTAACTCCGGTCCAGAAAAATGACTTGAAATTAATCTTAAGTCATGTAAATATGCCATGCCCATACCAATTCACATCCTTTTTAACTGGCCTCTTCTAGAATTATTCTGGAAGCTATATTACGTTATATTAACGTTATTGAAATACAAATCTATTGTATGGTGTCCATTCGCATTTGGTCATTGGTCACATTGAAAAAATAAATAGAAAGGGTGCAAAAAGATAATTGCGTTTCATTGATTTAAAAAAAAAAAAATCTAATAATGAAAACTACTTAAATATAAATGATATTCAAAGTATCTTAAATCTTAATCTATTATCTACTTGTAAAAATGCACATATTCTTCCCCTCTGTTAGAAAATATTTCATTCAATATTTTTGAATACTACTCACGAACATTTCATAGTTTTTATATCAAAACCGACAAAATCTACCGTACTTATAATGAACATAATAATCCCCTCGATAGGATTTTGAGGCTGGGGAAATAGTCTGTCCTTAACCTTTAATTTATAAAAATTCAACTATATTATAATTTAGGTAATCACTTAATAAATCTACTACAGTTTTTAATTGTATTTTGCTAATGTTCTGATTATTTAAAAGTAATCTTGTTATTATTTGTATATTGTTATAGACGACTTACAGTTAATATTATTCTGTTAAATTTTTATGTACGATTTTTGTACGTAAGTTAACTTTGGTGTTTATTTCAATAAATCAAATAAAATAAAATCAATACTATGATTAATTTAATTATCAATAAAAATATAATATTATTTTTTCATGAGTAACTTTTTATGAAACATTCATAAGTTAATGCTCTAATTGAATATAAAATATATTCTTAAAATGTTCAGATTTTCAAGCATCATATTTGTTAATTGATAATTTGAGAACCATTCTATTGTGGTTTATAAATTAATTCTGTAATCCATTTAATATTTAAGTAATAAATAAAAAGATAATATTGTAAAAATACCACTAATACCAACAATTCCAATAAATAAAGATTGTACGATTATTTTTAATTATTCTTATATACAGAAATACTATTAAAATATAATTAAAAGTAGGGTTTAAAAATGATTAATATATACATATACATTTAAATTGTTATTAGTCAAATGTTATTTAAGCTGGCATTCTTTTTCCCAGTTTTTTGGTACATAATTTTCTGTTGATATTATAAAATCTTCTAATGTCGGTAAAAAAATTCTTTGGTTTTCCATTTCTAGAGATAGAATATCTGGAGTGTCATAGGTTTTAGTGTACATTATCTATAAAAAAATAATATATTATTGTTATTTATTAGATACTTAACTTTTTATTTGCAAGTTCATATCTAAAAATAAATACTTATATAATTACTTTTACGTAGAATTCTTCTTTGATTTTGTGTAATTCAATAAAAGCTGAAGCTCCATAACTAGGTTTAAAAAGATTTTTCATTCCCAATGTATGTAAAAAATCAATTAACGTTTGCTCATGACTAAAGTAAGCAAATACTTTTCTATCGGGATTTAATCTTCCATCCATTTTATCTCTCATTACTCTAACTATTTCACCGATAAGTTTTCCGGACCTTAATTTTTTCATGGAATCCGTTTTCGAATAAGTAATTAACCATTCTAAGACAATGTTTTCCATAAGACCCATGTAATTTTTTACCTTTACCCATGATGGCAAAGTTAGATGATTTCTTTGCTATAAATAAATCACAATAAATTGTTATATAATGTAAAGAGATATCATATTGGCGGTAACACAAAATATATGTAATATTGTTATAAGTAATTAAAATTATTATAAAAGTAAATTAAGTACCTGAATAGTTAATGAATTAAATATATTTTCAATGTCTGATAGATGTTTTATTTCCAAACCTGTGTGATTAGATACATAGTTGAAAAAAGTTTCATATTTAATTAACATTTGTTTTTCAGTTTCATTTTTTGCTTTTTCAAATTCTGCATCATAAGCAGGGCAAGGTTTTGTTACTCTTAGTATCTATATATCATAAAAATATAAAGTCGTTATTTATCTTTGTCTACTATACTATTTTAAAATTTGGATTGGCTATGTTATACGGATAGGTAATTGGTTTTGTTTTAATTTCAATATAATACAAATTTTAATCTATACCTAGTAAGTACAATACAAATAATTGTATCATTTTTACAATTAATATTCATAAATAATTATTAAAGACGATGTCATAATTAAATTTAAAATATATTATTAGTTATTAATCATATATGCATATTCAATATGCTATAATGCTATATTTTGTTTAAAACAGTTTAAGTTACATTGTTTATTGCATTAAAATTATCAAGTTTAAGCTTAAAAAATTACAATTTTTTTAAAATTTTTAAAATGTTTAATAAAATTGTCAAATGATTACTATAGTTCTAATTTTTAAAATATTTAAAAAAAATCTAAAATACTAGTTAATTACTTCATGAATATTTTACTTAAAAAAATATCTTTATTAAGCAAAATCTTTTATACGAAAAATATATCGATAAATTATCTACATAAGTAACTACTATATTGTCGGTAAATGCCTTTTGATAATTAAAAAATTGTTTTAAAAGACAAAGTACTGTTATTATAAAAAATATATTTTTATAAAATATAATAGTATAATACATAAAAGTATTATTTTTCAACTAATTGGTGTGTTATTTGAACTTTTAAATTATAATAGATTTCACTGTTATTTTACCGTAAGACCAATAACTTTCAAGGTCTATGCTTCTTATGATATGAAATATATATTTACGTTGTCTTGATTTGGAGGTATCGAATAAATTGGTATAGGTATCCATTGTAAATCGTTGTTCCAAATTTGTCTGCCATTGGGTGGAAATGCTCCTGCTAAAAATGCTGATGCTGTCATTTGTGTACGATCAAATTCTGTACTCTGTACTGAAACTAAACTACTGTTGTAGGTGACTGGGAGAAATTTCGTATATCGCTTTCGAAATCGTCTTCCAAATTCATATGACTTTAATTTTCCTGCCTTTTGGAATTAAAATTAAGTAAATATTATTTATATATATATTCAACTTCACAATGTATCACTTTCTCTACCTCTATAAATATGTGCGAATTTCCAATTTTTTTTTGGTAGGATTAAAAATCTAAAATATATACCATAATTTGACAAAAAAAAAAAACAACTTAGTATCTATTATACTACAATTATCATCCTTTACTTTTTTTAATGGTTCTATAATCTATTCTTAGTTTATGAATTTGAATAATAGTTATACTTAATGATAGGTACTATATGTTATTTTTTCTCAGTATGACATTGAATTTTAAAAAATATTGTGCTAAAAATTTTTTTTATTTTATATATATATATAGGTATGTATTATAATATAAGCAAAAAATATTTTATTTTTGTATTATTCTGACACCAAAATCAATTCAGACGAATTTTAATTTAATTTTTCATTTAAACTTGTGTGTTTGTATTATGTAATTATTGAAGTTAAATATGGAAATGTTAACAGTTTTTGTTTGTTGGTTTGTGAACTCTAACTCTTAAAACTGATATGCAGACTTACAAATAATGTCAAAATACATTATAACAACCATTGAATCTAATGCCATATCATTAAAGTCCAAGATAAATGGTTAAGAAAAAATAATAGGTTCAATATTATGATTTATTTTGTCGGCCAAGAGAAAAGAAAGTTTTGAATTTATAGAAATGTTAATATTTATTTTAATGTTTCTCAACATTTGTATTAAGGCGACACACTATTAAAATATTTCATACTTTGCGACACACAATAAAAAGTTAGAATAATGGGTAAATGAGTAATATTTAATTTTAATTGATAATTTAAAGTATGTTAAATATATTGATATCTGCAGACAGATAACTTATTTTTAATCATCATAGAAATGATATCAAATACCTATTAGTTTTTGTATACCTAGTCAAAAATATTGGTACATTTTGTATTATTTAGTACAGTTAGTGACACATTTAGACTTATTTAATGACACAATGGTTGACAAACACTGATAGTATACGATTAAGAAAATATATACTAACAATATATATATTTGTAAGCAAATTGCTAAAACTTTAGTTTATAGTAGTTCGACAATTATTAATTAATAATTATAGTATTTCGACAATTACTAATTTTGATTTTGACCGTATACGATAACTTTTCATGTCTTTCCTCGGTTTTTACCTATCTACATAATAGATTAGGTACCTAATACCTATACAATATTATACTAAAATATATTTTTCTTACATTGGTCAACTGTCCTAAGCCATCTGGCCATGTCCCTTCGCTCATAGGCGGATAAAGGTCATTAGGATAAGTTTCCCATTTCAATGGACTTCGGTCACCTTGTCTAAAAATCTAGAAGAACATTTTGGTTGTGTAAAAAATTATTTATTTCAATCATAGGTGTTACTTACGGCTATGATGAGTTGTAATGAATTTTTTTTCCGTGACTCCTCGCCTAATATTAAATAATACACCACGAATACGGTGATTATTACTCCGGACAATAATATAGCTGCAAATGCTCCTCTTTTTTCATTTTTCAAAATTGATACTTTTTTTGGGGAAACGCTATTTTTATTAATCTCATTTTGAGACATAATGACTAATAACGGTACCGAAACTATATTAGCTGGTTTAACGCGTGGATGTATATTGCATACCTATACTGAATAAAAATAAACTTATTGAAATATTCAAATTATTTAATAATAACTAGGCCACGAATGTTGTAGTACTAAAAAACTGATAAAATTGATTGCAGTATTGCACTAAAATATATCAAAAATTATGCTTAAAATATTAAAAATTGCACTAAAAAATTGAATCGTATGTAATTTTTTTTAATTTTCAAAATCCAATAACCTTATTCGTTTTGGAGACTGTGAGTTTTTATACCTTGAAAAACTTGGTTTTTTAGGAGCGTACTTAAAATAAACTAAATCTCTTACCGCCTAATCTTCAGGTAAACCCTAAAACAATATTTAAAAACCGTTTAAAAAGTATTAAAAAAGTAAAATTATGTAAAAAAAACTTTAAAAAAATATGTTAAAATTGTTTTATAAATGAGTAAATTTAATAAAATTGCTATAAAAATCCAAAAATTCTAAAAACTGGAGAAAAGTGCACTTAAAACTTTTAGATTTTAGTTCGTACACGCATTTTAAACTTACTTAGCAATTAAAAGTAGAAAAAAGTTACAGGTGCAACAACATCCGTGCCTCAATAATAACTAACAAGAACTACGAGTGCCTGTAGTATAATAGTAAATATATTGATAAACCGTACACAGTAAAACCTAATTGTGATCACACAGCAACATATTGTACTGTTTTTTAATATTAATCAGGTACGTGAAAACACTAATGGTATTAAAAATACATAGGTAAATAAATTAAATAATAGTAATCAGTACAATATATAATATATAATTTATATCAAATAGTAATCCTTAGACTTGCCCAAACAATAGAAGTATAGCTTTATTCAGCGCTGCAACCGGTAAGAGGTAAGACCATAGTACAAAACATAAACGTACATATATTATGCGGCTATTTCCTAATCCAAAAGTATACACAGATTAGATAAGGTAAGTCGTTATAGTACTTGTCTTCATTTCATTGGCACTCCGAATATGCGAGGAAAATAAAAACAATCTATGTAATAATAGGTATATAGTGTATACCCATAATACATATTATATTGTATATTGTATGCAATTTATATGGATACACCTATGTATACCTACTGATGAACGGTTATTATTTATTATAGTTACTATTGTTATTCATTAAAATCATTGTACAAGTATAAAGTTATATTAAATTATATTATAAACTAACGATAAACATACATTCAAATGAATTTACAATAAATTATTATAAGTTGATAGAAATATACTATATTATTATTTATTTAGATTCTGAGTAGAGCAATAAATGCATTGGTTTTATATAACGATGCGTATTTTTTTTATTTTTTTTTATTCACGATTTATTATATTGTATAACAGAGAAAAAGGCTCAGTCTTTAAATTTGAACATAGTTCCTGATAGAAAAGTTCAAAGTGATGAAGTTAGTATTTTTGAGAAGTTAAAATTGAAAATTCTCATTGTTTTTCAAAATAATTGGGGAAAATTAAGGAAAAACAGGATTTTTAATGCTAAACCAGTTAAATTATTTTCAACAAATGGTATGATTTTCAAAATATTTGGCTTTTTTTTTTTAAATTAAGTAAACATTTGATTTTCTAATTGTTTTTAAAATAAATTGTCGATATTAAATTTTTCGCTCAGTCAAGAACTTTGAAAATTTTATTTACTAAAATTGCTATAATAGCTATTTAAGAACATAAAAAATACATATGCCCGTTTTTATATTTTAATAAACATTGTAAGTCCAAATTTGCATGAAATTTGATGATCAAAAAAAAAAAAAAAAAAATGATTTTAGTTAGATTTTTTTTTTAAATTTAAAATACGAACATTTATAATCTGTGTAAAATAATTACAATACGTACAAAAAGTAAGCGTAATATTTTCAGTAAAAAGTTTTAGTGGCGTGAGTAAGGAAGTTGCAAACTGACAGCACCCTAGTTTGTTGTACTTAATTTAACGCATCCATTATAGTGACTAACTCAATGACATGGTTGGGAGGTACAATCGACTCCCGGGAGTCCATAGTGTATAGAAAAGCAACTATCTATTTCATTCCCCCTTTTTTAATTACTATGACAATATTCAATTTACTTTTTTGACTGACCCATTTATACAAAAACTATAATACTAATTATATTAATTACTAACAATATTTTATGAGTTAATATAATTTTTTGTTTTATAAGATAATGAATAATAATAAACAGTATAAATGATGTTTCATAACGGAGGAAATCTTATGATGTTATTATTAGCATATCAACATATTCAACGAACAAAAATGTACTAATTTGGAATAAATTAAAAATTGACACTATCAGTTATTTGATTTCGTAACACTATAATACTTGTATTGAGACGAGTAGATCCGATAATTCGATGTAGAATTTGAGATAAAATATAGATTTTGTTATAAAAAGTGGTAGATAGACTTAAAGGGAAATTAGGATTTTTGGTAGGTCCTCATCCTAACCGACACCGACCTCAGCAATAACATAATATTATTTATTTAGAAACCCTAGAAACTAATAACTCCTATGAATATATCGATATCTACCATTGATTATAAGGGGTTATTTTAATAATAGTCAATAATAATAATATTTACTAATAGATTTAATATTATAAAATACTATTATAGTTATAAATACTAATATTATTTATAATCGATGATACCCATATTGAACGGGACGTGTTTTGTCCCGTTTTTTGTAGATAGTTGTTACGTTTTAATCCTGTTATCTTTCCGTATGACCAATGATATTTAATTATTATACTTTTAATTTTAGATATTATATTTTGTGTGCGTAAAAAAAGAATTAGTTGACAAAATAAAACAATATTTTTATTGCTTTGTATTGATTTGTACGGTTTTAGTTTCAAATAATCATGAATTTTATTGAATTTTCAGATCTTAGCTATAAAAATTAAAGAATTTATAATTTTTCTACAGCAAAATATTTGTATACTTCAACCTACTAGAGAATGCACACAGTAGCAACCGATATTAACTTACCTACGCCAACGTTATAATATTTTTTAATATATGTAAAATTAGTGGTGAATGCCCGAATTTGGACAGATTTTGATTACCATCCAGAAGCGTTCTCATGAAACGGAGTCTATTTTGTAAATTTTCTATTTTTTAACTTAAATTGCAAACAAAATAATTCTTGATTTTTGTTTGTATTTTATAATTATTTTGAAAAATACTGTGAAATTTTAATTTTGACATCTCCAAAGTGTAAACTATATCCTCCAATTTCTATCAAAAACTATCCACAAAATTTAAAATCTAATCCTTTTTTCTACCACATATGTTGTATGTATGTATACACATCATTATTAAAATCAATACCTTCATTCATTGCTTTTGCTCAAAATTTAAAAAAAAATAAATTCCTTTATATTCCATAATATAAGAAAGAATATTAATAATCACTTATTAGTTATATTATAGGAAATGTTAAAGTTTAATTTTTATACAACGCAATACTGAATAATGAATTCATAATTCAGTTGAATTATTTGTAAGTTTAAAAACATTTTTATTTTACTCTATTTGTGTTATTATAGTTTCTCTCTGCGTCTTAGTTTAATCATTAATGTATAGTAATTCAAAATTTTCTTTATGGTTTAATATAAAAGTGATAATAAATTATCACGTGGGCTTATCAGTCATGTAATTGTAGAATATATTTTTCTTATTATCAGCATTAATGATGATAAAATTGCGCTGTACAATGTATGGTATTTTATGATAAGAAGATTACTTCGTTACATATTATATTAGTCCGTTTTATTCATTTGTATTTTGTTGAACAATTACATGTTCTACGTAATTTTTGAACTACTAATAGGTAGTTGAAATTTGATATGTTGATACGTCAATAAGTAAAAAAATAAATATAATAATATTTAATAATGTCAATTTTTTATAATATTTATAACTCATACTTAGTTTTTATTAATTCGCATCAAAACAGCCTTTTTAATTTAAATAATGTAAAAGAAAAATCCGTTGACAATATTTATACACAGCATTCTCAAGGAGGTGAACCTTGTCGTTCATGTACTGATTTTCGGACGTTTAGTCGTATGCGACGTCAAGAATTTAGTCAAAATCAGGTAATACTTGTTATATTATAAAAACAATCGATTACTACTCTTGAAAAAATTTAGATTTCAAACTCAAGTATTTTATTGAAAAAACTGTTTCTCAACTGATCAAAAATTTGAAAACAGAACATAGTCTTTATTGACTTAACAATTATGAAATCTTTTAAAAAAACTTACTTTGAAATACATTATGTACACTGAACATTAGTCAACAAATCAAATTATTTGTAAATCACTTAGTTGAATTGGAATTCAATTTTAAACTATACAATTATATGATGTGGTATTTATTTATTTTAATATGTAATTTTTATTATTGGTGTGTTATTAAGAAAAATAATGACATTATTTATATAATTCCATAATAGTTTACCTGCTTAGTGTTAATTATATTATATTTTTTATGTTGTCTTTTACAAGTTATATTTTATGACTTTTAAAATAGGTCCAATCTGTGAATAACCTATCTAAAAATAATGAAGATGAAACAAAAATACTAGAACACCAGAGAGAAGATTGTCCTCTAGACAAAGATGAATTAGGTTTGTTATTAAATTTACCCTGTATTGTTATATTTTTCTTAATATTATTTCAAACTGTATTTCTCAGGTCGTTGTACATGGAAATTACTTCATACCATAGCTGCCACATATTCAGATAAACCGTCTCAAGAAGATCAGTCTAATATGGAACAATTTATTAGATTAATACCAAAAGTCTATCCTTGCGAAATTTGTGCTAATGACTTTGCTGAAATGTTAGTATTTGATTTAATTATTTTGTGATGTTCATTGTTTTTATTTCACTTAAATTTGTAGATTTGTCATTAAAAGTATTATATTTGTTTAACACATTTCTAGCATTTTTTATTTTATGGTACGATGATGACATTTACATTTTTTACTCATCATAAATTCATAATATGTAGTTTTTCAAAATACATTTTTAAGATTTTACTTATTTTAATATATTTATTTTTGAATAATTAATCTTTTTTCAGATTAACATATCATCCACCAAATATTAGCTCTCAAAATTCATTTGCAAAATGGTTGTGTGAAGCACACAATATGGTTAATCGAAAATTAGATAAGCCACTATTTGATTGTTCCAAAGTAAATGAAAGATGGCGTGATGGTTGGGATGATGGACATTGTGATTAATATTTTAGTATACCAGATTAGATTAATAATACAGAATTATAATTTCATGTATATTAAAACCAATATTTTGGATCTTTAGAGTTTTATTATTGAAGTAATGGACATAACCTAATCTATATAATATTAATAAAAATGTGAAGTTTGTGATTGTTACCAATTGATCAAATACTTCTAAAAACATACAATTTGTCATAGAGATAGCATATACATTATACACCACCACTGCAAGAATATATTTTTATATTTTAGTTGTATTTTGAATTCTAGTTCTAAATAATTGAATATTTGAGTATTGAGGTCAAATAGAATTATACTGAAGGATTTGGCTATTTATTGTTTTTCTGTATCATACAAAGTAAAATAACTGAAACTAATATTTTAATATTATAAATAAATAATTAAAGTGTTAAAAAATGTATTTGTTGTAATAGAAAACATGATAAAGAAAAGTATGAAAATAAAGATGTGTAGTTAATAATATTATATTACATTATTCCTATTTTCTATATAATACAAAACATTCTTTAAAACCTGTCCAAGAATTTAGCTCATTAATAACTAATAATTACTATTTATAATTTTTAAGAAGTACTTTTACGGGGTGACATATTTTGTCTATTGTGTTATGGTCGCCTGTCATAATTGATTGCTCATACATTTGTTGTAAAAATGAATGGTACTTGTTTATAACTATTGTCTCACCAAGCCTTATAAGATTTACCATCTTACCAGGTAATTGAACATCAGTAGTCATTAATCTAAATGTCGATATTTCTTTATATTTAAATATTTTATGTTAGTCTAGTATATAATATATTTATTGAAAAATGGCAAGTACTAAATTGTATTAGGTACTATTATTTTATAAAAAGTACATAATAATATACTTTATATACAAATAATCATAACATTCTAATAATTCATATACATAAATAATACATTATTATTGTGATTTTATAGTTATGTAATAAAACATAATAATTTATCTAGTCTTGAATTATAAAATTTAATAAAGAAATATACACTTACAAGAATGATAACTTATATACAATTTATTTTATCTTTAATAAATTATACTTATTATATTGGTTATTAAGTAAATAACCATTTGTAAAAGAATTTTTTAAATTTAGAGCAAAGCTTTTCTAACATAAATCAAATTAAAAAAACATTAAACTTAAGTATCCACTTATAAGAAAAACTAAATATTTAATATTAAAATAATACAATACAATATGCATACACGCTTAAAATATTTTAATCATTATTACTATAAATAATTAAAATTTTTAAATTAATTATTCATTAAAATATGATCCCATTATAAGTAGGTACTGTTAACTTAAACAATTAATAATGCAAATATAATTTCAATGAAATAAACAAAATAGACAAAGGCATAAAATCAATCTTAACAAGACTTATAATTGTATAAAAAGCGTTAAAATGTCACCATTCCTAAAGAGCTTATTAATTTAAAATACTAATAAATAAATCACAATTAAAATATTTCATGTCTAATTTACAGGTGTTAATTTGGAAAAATTATTGATAATAATATTTTATTTAAATTTGATCAAATCAAATTAAAAGCATACATTGTAATATATAAAATACTATAATAATTAGACAAGTCAGTACTTGTTTAAAATATGTAATAACTAATTTACAATAAATTTAACTATACGTAGCATAGTAAATTTTATGTCAAACATACTTATTATAAATATTACTTTTTTTTCATGACATTCCCTTTTTTTGTAGGTCTTTTTTAAGTGCTGTTTTTTTCTTTTTGTGAAGAGATAAAGATGTTTTTATGAGCTTTTCACATTTTTCATTGAAAATGCGTAAAATTACACTCTTTTGAATTTCTAAGAAATCATCTACGATAAAATCTGATTCCTTCTTACCTATTTCAATAAATCTACACGGTGGGTTTAACGATAAGGCCCGCTTCTTGTGTTCTTCCCAAGGTTTGTCAGTCGGCTCCCAACCATCCAATTCGATGAAACACGAAAAACATCTTACTGTATCAGGTATATCCGGGTTTGGGCAATAGAAACCTGCTTCAGCCATTTCCTTAGCACTAGGTTTAGCCATGGTCCAATTTTGTAGTGATTTCAATCTTTTCATCTGCCAGATATAGCAAAATGGTTCTGCTTCCAAAGATCCAAATTTATAATCGATTTGTTTCATTAATATGTTGTCTATATTCTCCATAATGAGATAAAATCTAAAAAAAAAATATTGAAGTAATCTATATGAATATATACAAATTAAAAATAATAATGTTCATAGACAACAATACAAGTAAAGTACACAGTTCAAATACCTATAAGCAATAGCCAGTGAAATGGAAGACAAGATTAAAAATTTAATGTTGAATGGTCAATAATTATTGTTCAAATTTCAAGTCTACTACTCATTAGTCAGACATTTTCTCAGCCTGGGCCTTGGAATCTGAATTTTGGATTAAATAATAACCGACTTCCAACATCAAACATTAGTTCGTTTTAAACAGTGTAGCCATTTTTAAAACTAAAAATATGTTTTTCTAAAGTTTGATACTTAATTTCTAGATGTATTGAGAACATTAATAATTATTAATAAAAATATTTATTTATTAACGTAAATATTCACTTTAAATATTAATTTATTATATTTTCTATTCACTTATTGATTATTTTATTATCTCCATACATACATTTATATACTGATTATATTATCTATAAGTTATCAATATTATCATTAAAAATATGTTGATATTTGATAAGATAATTTTGGAAATCTTAAATTAAAATTAAAAATTTATTTATATTTATTTATTTATATTTTAAAGCATTTTATGTTATCTTAAAGGCTAAATTGCTTAATAATTATTTATTTTTGTTGCTGTCTTAGTTAATTTTTTAATTTATTTGTTCTTAATATATCTTTAAATCAAACATATATAATGAGTAAATCTTTAGATATTTGTAAATCATCTGTAAGTATAGAACATACTATATTGATTATTTATTTATTTTGTTATTGAATGATTTACTTTGTAATTTTATTTCAAAATAATTTTTTTAGTATTTTAATATTTGTGTAGAAAAGTATTATATGATAATCCAAAATCAATAAAGTATTTAATTATTAACTTAAATATTAATTAATTATATTTATTATTTACTAATTGACCATTTTACATAATTTTACTATCTTCATTTATTTTTATTTATTTACCTTACCAGACTCCTTAAACTAATAAATCATAAATCTACTATTAAAATAATTGAATTAGTTAAAACTAAACATTATAAGAAATAAAATATAGAAACTTATTTACTATAACAAAACAATAATTAAATGTAAATAATTTTTTATTTTTAAATTTACCTATTCAAAATAAATATTTAAAAATATGATACTCTATTAGCTGTTTATTTGCTAGTATTAAATAATCTATGATCTATTTATTATAATCGATTATTTATATCGCACAGATCTACTAATCAAATTAATAAATTTATACAATAATTTGTTATCATAAAAAATGTTATATTCAATAAAATTTAAAGATGTTTAAAATTATCAACAAATTCTTATGTGAGTGTTACCAAATTTATGAACCCTCTAACAGTTATAAATAATAGGTAATGAACTAAATTCTTGGTTTTTTTTTTTTTAATGTAAAAATATATCTTATTGTTGCATTTACATAAGTAATAACTATTAAACAATAATATACTTAGTTTCAATAAACAATATTCATTATCAGTATAGTATATAATATTAATTACAACACTTTAGAAGATTACTGTTTAATTTGTATCATATTTAACATAAATATATATTTTATATTTTAGTTAGTAAGTTTAAAAGCAGAACTCTTACGCAAACAAGATGAAGCAAACAAAGCAAAAAGTTTTTCTGGTGATACATTTATTCGACCAATACCTGGTGCTAAGACACCATCATGTCTTCTTCAGTCTAATGAAGGTGTTGAAAAAAGAAACGCTAAAGACTTAGAAGAAGAATATACACCAGATATTGAAAATAGTTTGAAGAAATCAAGGTAATTTATTCACACAATTTATTGTATCTGGTATCTTTACTACATTCAGGTTAAGATTGAACCTCTTCTGTGTACACAGATTACCGTTTAACTCCCCAAATTAAAGTAATATTTTTTATCATCAGTGTCAGTGATGTTGCCATATATATAAAGTGACATGCGCCGGCTTGATAAGTTTTGGTTGACCAAGTAGTTCAATCTTAACCTGAATAACAGATACTATACGTCTATACTATAATATAATTTAAAATTTTCTAAAATTATAGTAAATTATTATCAATTATATTTTGTGTTGTTTTATTAGAGATGTGTTAACAATGAAAGCAAAATTGTATGACAAACTAGTTAAAGGTGAAATGGTAAGCGAACAAGATAAAACATTTTTAGTTGATTTTAAACAAAAAGTTACTGAAAGTAAAACTACTCAACCTGTATCTTACACAAAAGAACATAATAAAGAGCAGGAAAAATCTGATCCCGATGCAGATTTAGATAAATATGATTCAGGAGCTGATGATGATTGGTAAATTGAATTAATACATTTTAAATAGGATAGTTATTTTTTAATTAAATTGTGTGTTTATTTTAAAAGATTAAACAATTTTATATTATATTATGTAAAATAATCACCATATATATTTGTGTGTATATATATATACATATTATAGTTTTAAAAGATTCATTTACTAATTAGGTGTACAATTTTATTTTATTAGGATAGATTATACAGATTTCTTTGGGCGCACTAGGAGATGTTTAAAAACAGATCTAGAATTTTTCAAAAAAAGAGATCAAAGGATTGAAAAAGAATTAGAACCACCACCACCACCACCACCTAGTGAAATGAAACAACAAACACCTATAACTTCACAAACATTTGTAAAAGAAGGTAGGAATCCAGAAGAAATATCTGAACTTTTTTCATCAGATATGCGTAGAGAACAATTGCGTCTCAAATGGGAAGAAGAAGAAAAAAAATTAGCCCAACGAACTGACATTCATTATGAAGATATACGATTTGACGGTAAGTCATTTAAAGAATATTATCTTAATTTAGAATAGTATTTCTTAGTCTTAGATTAAGTAATAATAATTATGTGAGTTGTGAACTGATTTACCTAATGTGACTTACAAATTGTAGAGACAAATAATTATTTTTACTATTTTTTTAAAAATTAAAATAAGCTATCAATTTGAGTATTTGAATTATGTTGAATTAATAGATTTGATTTATAAATTACTTATTACACAAGGAAACCTATATAAAATTATACCTAATACTTTTATTTAAATAATATTTAAAGTTTTGTTGCAAAAATATTTGAAAAATTTGTCCATATCAAATACATTTTGAATATACCATATTATGTCATATTAACTGATGGTTGTATAAAATGATAGAAAAAAAAATGTTTAATGTATGTATGATTCAATTGTAGTTGTGGTATAAAATAATACAATTATACATAATTCATTTTAATAAAAAAATTTAAAATTATTAATAATTATAAATATTTAATATTGATAAAGATAAAAATTGATACCTATTGCTACGAATAATATTAAAACATAGGTTTATACATTCCAACACTTAGCTGATGAAAAGTATTAATCAAATTTGGTTTGGCCAGCAAAAAGTCATTTTTGATTCTCGTTAATACAGGTTATAAACACTATAGGCCTAACAGCTATAGAATATAAATTATAATAAGGGAAGAAATTAAAATTTCTAGTTTAGGAAATTTCCAGCCTTCATCCTTGTATTATCATTAATTACATAATATATTGTCATTGTAATGTCTGGTTGATAACAATAAGTTGTAAGTCTATAATAATTTACCTCTTAAGATTAACTGTGATAACATTGTTGAGGAAACGACATGTACTAGTTGTGGTTGACAAAATTTGGGTTTAGAACTATTTATCATAATATCTAAGTTAACTTCTTATTTAAAAATAGAAATAAAACACTCACATTTAATAAATAGCAGCAGAAAAAATAAGAAAAATAAATTATATTTATTATATCAAGTATATTTATTTTTATCATATCTATAACAAAGTTTGACATAAAGAAAACCTAAAACTCATCTATTATATTAATTACTTTCACAAATGAAGGTTTTTTTTACAATATATATTTTAACTAATATTTTTAACAAGAAAAACATAACACAAAGTGTGTCACAATATTTTAGCATTGTATTTTCTAAACATTTAAACAGTATGTTATAATTGTATATTATCTGTATATAATATATACATTATATATATTATATATATTTTAATCAAACGTTAATTAAAAATAATTTTATATCATATAACTACTAAATAGGTAAGTTTTATGTAAAATTTAAGATCACATATTATTATATATTATAAATAAAAGAATATTATATTATGTAGGAACAATTTTCTAAAAAAAATAGTTAATATCTATATCGATCAAAATGTATTATTTACAGATTAATACATTAATATAAAACTGGATTGAATACTAGCCCAGTTAATATGTACTATACTCACTTTTACACTAAATAGTGATATACCTATTTATTAATTATAAAAAAATTTTCTTTCAATTAAAACTCATATAAGTGTAAATTATATTAATTGTAAAATTAAAATTTTTTTTGTAACAATATTGAAGGATTTAAAGTATTTAAAATATTCCTGTTGAAATAGGTTAAGTAGTCAATTTTAAGGATATTTTTATTGCTTCATTTAGAATTTAAAAATTATAAGGAACGTTAACCAATTATATTTAAAATATTATACATCCATATTTCATGATTTTATTAAAATATATCACTAATTTTTGCAATGTTATAGACTTGTAACTATTTTAAAAAGGTTATCAACATTATAAAGCTTTATAAGTTATGAATACTAAACTTAAAATAAAAATACGCTTAGGCAGCAATAGTTTATCAGCTGATGCCTTCGTAAATGTATTATTTTTCATAGTTGTATTTAATATTACTGTAGTGTTAATAATTTTGTTGGTGAATTTATGTTTATCTAAATTTGTCAAATCATCAAATAACCCACTTCCATCTTCTGGCAATTGGTCTAAATCTTCATCATCTGTTGAAATTGGAACTGGAGTTAAGACTGTTGCATCATTACATAAATTATTAGCACAAAAACAATATTTCACATTATTTGCTATTTTACAATCAGTGATTGGATACTCATTGCAAGATTTCAATATACTTTTACCTTGAAAATACCAAAAATAAAATTAATAAATAATGAATAATAATTATTAATCCTAAATTAAATTTATTACCATAAGTTTTAGTTAGACACCCTTTATATCCTTCTGGACATTTTAATGTAAAATTGATAGCAGCGTTTGACCCACAAGTTGGTATAGTTTCAATGTTATAATTTGAAAACGTAATAGAAATTTCTGAAGTTTCTGTGTTATCAGAAATTGGATTTGGTGTACATACATAACATGTTATATCTTTTTTGATGGTTGCTGAATATGTTAGACCTATAACTAAATTATTATAAATTATTAAATATACATAAATATAATTATGTGAATTAGGACAAAGTATTATAATTATTAGTAACCATGCAATTAAATAAAAAAAATTGTTAAATTAGAACAAAAATATCTACTTTACTATTTTTTTTTTTTTTTTGAAAGATAATACATTTTTAATTTTTTTTTACATTAGGTAAATTTAGGAATATTAAATAAAAAAAAAACTTAAAATTAATTTTATTATTAAAATTATAAAAAGTTATATTTTGGCATATTTGTTAATATATAATGTTGAAAATTAAACATTCACCAATTTTTCTCTATTTTTAGGTCAATTTAGTAATAAAAAAAATTTCCATGTGAAAATTTCACCATATTACCTCGTTTAATATATTTAATTCACGGATCATTAGACTACATGATTTACTTGCATAGAATACGTGTAAATTGTTTTTATTATAGATATTGATGACAACAACCAAGTGAATGAAAAACACATTTATTATTTTTTGCTAGATTTTAAAACACGATATATAGTCACGAAAAGGCTGACTCATTGAACTCGTATTTTAACGGACCAAGGGTGTCGTGTTATGGCCAATTGGTTTAATGACTGAGCATTTAGGTAGCCGACTACAATTATAAAAATGAGAACTATAGTCTATCATAATAGTATAATACTATAGTCTGTAATATTCATTTTAAAGTTTAAACATAATGTAAAAGGATGTATGGAAATATTTTCTTTGATGAGTCACATTTTTATTCTGAATTGAACATTAAATCCGTGTTATTTTAAATTATAAGTTATAAATATAGTAATTTAAATGTTATTGAATTTTTAATCGTTATTATTGTTTTTTAGAAAAACTTGAAATTCTTTTATTTCACAAATTTGGATTTTATTTAATTCGTCAATATTTTAATTATTTTACTATGACTAGTTAAATAAAAAAGAATGGTAATAACTAGATTTACGATGTTTCTAGATCCCACGCAAATTAATTTGATTTTTTAAATACCGGACAAAACAGTTAATAAATAAATAAAATTCCGTAAACATGAATGATGAAGTTAAATAAATACATATACCTACCATCGCCTATCGAAAACTGAGTTCCACGGATGATTCGTAAGCGTTAAAAAAACATTTTATAGTTCAAAATGTTTATTTGGAATTCAGCGTGTTGTCCATTCACACGTTAAAATAACATTAATAATAACTCCTTATTATTTTTCTCCCACGAGAATTTTAATTAATCATTTTTATAATTACACATTTATAAAATGCAAATTTTCAAAAATTCAAACTTGTTATTTATATTGCATTTAATACGTTGTTTAAACAGTTATTTATATATGTATGTAATTATTATATTGATACTTTTTAATTCGTAAAATTAAATTAATTTTTGAAACAATATTATCTATATTTTATTTTATTTATTAATAAAAATAAAGTATAAATAATAAATACTAATTACATAATTTATTTATTAGTAATTAGTACTTAATATTATATCATTTTATTTTAAATTTTGGCAATAGATCAATTTTGTATACACTATTTTTTAATAAAAACGTATTTATTTTCTACATCATCTATAGATAATATTTGACATAGTGAAACATAATAAAACGATATTTGCAAAATTTAAATAATTATGCTTTTTCACTGAATGTATTATTTGATGTTAACTCATGTTAAATACATAAATTATAATTTAAAAGATATCATATTATTTCCGAAATTGATATTCGTTATGTACAGAATAAAAACTAAAACTTTGAATTTAACTTTTAAGACTTTTTAAACAATTGTCTCTTTTAGATGATAGAACTTTTGGTATTTTTATTTTTTTTATTATAACGTAATATATGAGATGACAATCTTTCAGGCTTCAATTTCTATCTATATATTTTAATAGTATAACCGATATCTTTATGACTACTAAATATATAAATATTGATATATGCAGTGAAATAAAAACTACATAACTTTCGATAACAGCGATAAAAGAGAAATGGTAGTACAAACATTGTCAGTTAAATTTTTTTTTTTTGAATAAAACGTTCCTGTCACGATTTCGTGTGATTTTTTCTATGTCATTTTATGACATGTAGCGTCTCACGTACATTGTACTACCTGTAAACATTTTGAATAATATATTGTTTTTTCACACATATGTCAAACTGTATGGAACGAAATTAAATTGAAAATGTACGTATTATTTATCTTTTCTTTATTTAAAATGAATTATATTTTTTTTAGACAGCCGTATTCAATAAAACATTTTTTTTTTTTTGTTCAAACTTTACGTAACTATCGAGTATTAACTCAACTAATCTAAAATCTAATCATAATTCCGTTATATGACAAATATCGCTATTGCATTTTTAAAAGTATTGTTAGTAATTATACATTATACATATTTTTATTAAAGAATGTTATTATGTAAAATTTTCAAGTAAATAATATCGATAATATGTCTATTGTCTGTAATATTTTAGAGAAAAGATTAAATTTATTATACTCATCACTATTTTATCTTATTTCACATATTTTAAGTTAGAAAATGTTCTATTTATTGTCAAATGTACAAAATGTATGTGTTACTCATAGATTAGGTATAATTTATTATAATAAAATTATACTTATTATTGCTGTAAAAAATTCACATAAAAAATAGAGAAAAAAAATCATGTGAAAAAAGTTGTTGCGGGCTAATTAATTTTAACCTGTCTTTCGTGACCATTCATTATTATAAACTCACTTATGCTTACCATAAATAAATTTACAGATTATATATACAAATAAATTTTAATAAAAAAATAATGTAGCTTTTTCATTGAGTTATCCTAATTTAATTTCAACCCTTTGAATATATTACTTCTCAACTTAAAGTGAGTTATGATATAAACAATTTTATTAGTGATGCATTGTATTAAAATAATATCTACTACCTAGCTGTTAATTCAACTATTAATTGTGCAATATGTCTTATTAAGTTATTAAAATGACAAATTTTATTTTCAATGTGTCTTAAATTTTGATTAAAATATGAATGATTATTTAATTTATCTATTTATTTTTTCTAGATGAATATAAACGAGCTATTTTTATTGTATTATTATTTGTTAGATTATTAAATTGTTCATCATAAAAAATATAGGAACTGTTAATACAATATAATTTGTATTATATTATAGTTATATAATGAAAGAAGCATGACCTTTAATGTATTCATAATTTAATTAGTCTTTTTGTATTTAGAGTTTAAACGTGCGTAAAACTGAATTTATGTTTTATTTTATAGATTATTTCCAATCTTATCTAACAAACGAAATTTAAACAACTTAACAAGTTGTAGTTTCAGTAGTTAGTATTAATAATTTCGTTTATTTTTATGTTTATAGAGATGTTTACTTAATTGAATATACTCGACTAATAATTATACTAGTAATATTAAACTATAAATTATTATTTTATAGCTTATTTTGTATGTCTATAGGTACATGACTTATATATTTTATAAAATATGTTTCTTAATATTTTTAAAATATATGTTTTTATATTGAAAAATGTATACATATAATTATATGGTTATTTATTAGAGATTTTTCTCAATCAAGATTTATTTATGTACTAATAATTGAAAATAACTGAAATATTAACATATTCATTTATAGTTAAAAGGAGTTCATAAAATTAACGAGCAGCGTCATTCAACCCGATTAACTAATTATTTCCCTAATTACATAAAAATATTTAAAAATTCATCTTCTAAATTTCAGTAGGTTCAACAATATTAGAGCTTATACATATTTTTTTACTATAAATTTTAATTTAATTAAAGGATATAATTAATATATTTTTTTAAGTTTTTAGTTGTTTTTAATTTTGATGATTTATTTGTCGAATTTGGCCATCATCCTATCTCGTCTAATTTCATTTTTTATGCCAAAAGTATGAATGACAGTGATAAATAGGTAAATACGTTTACAGACTTAAAATGTATACAATTTATATGTATATATATTAAGTTTCTATTTATTAATAAATGCAATGATTTACACGCACTATTAAGTTCTTTATAATGCATGCAATCAAATACTATAAAAAAAAAAAAATAATAAATAATAATAATATGCAAGTGTCTAAAATATGAAATATTAATATATCTTATTATTAAAATATTATATATTTTACTTACCGATTACGAAAAACCAAACCATCGTAGTTTTCGTCCATTGCGGAAAACCAACAGACATTATATTTTTAAATGTTATTGATAAAATGAAAACTTTATCTCATATCTAGCGGATATAGAAAAGCAAATTTATAAAAATTATTAGAATAAAATCGATTTTTACCACAAAACTAAAATTAAATTTAAATGAAATACAACCCGTGTGGTGTGGTTATAAATATAATTGATTGCCGTCAGTGTAATTGTATAAACTTAATTTACGAGCGATCTGTAAGCATAGAAATACCGATAGATTACCCTGTATTTTATCGTTCATTTACCGAAAACAATGCAGTAATATCTAACATAGTCGCGCTGTTCGCACTGTTTAGGACAGAATGCGAGAGAACGTCTCCGACCGGCTCGCGCTCCCTCTCGTCGTTTCCTATATAATAATATTATTATACGTCTACAACTGACCGTGAGGGCACACCATCTCGCGGGGTTTGCGCATATTATACTGTTACGCAAACGATCAATTAAAAAAAAAGAGCCGGATAAATGTAAACTTTACCGGAGCCTAGGACCACATTTATCTCTTGTTTAGTGTGTGCGTATAATATATACATGTATATATAACTTGCTAAATGCCAAATGGTTTGCTATAAATTATTTTATTCTTCTTATGTAAGGGGAACGATATAAGTAATGAGATAATTTTTAAAAGCTTTGAAGACATACACGATACACGAAACACTGCACTATATGACTGCAGTCTATGATAATATATTATTGTTAGTCCGTTCAAAACTCATAATTAATCATGTATATATTGATACTGATGTTAAATAATACATCGATCGAGTAATATTTTGTTTTATTATTATATTAATCACCAGACAATAACCTATATATATATAGATACTAAATATCTTATTCACACTTCTCGATGCAGTTCTTAGTAAAATTAAAATAGTATAAGTTTACCTATAAATTATAATAGATATAACTAATAAAATATTATAGTACTAGGACACTAGGTCATATATTTTACGATTGCGTGTTATACCTTTGGTAATCACCACTAAAATTGCTTTATAGTAATAAAGTTTTTTCATAAGAATAACTCTATTTTTATTACTTTTTAGGTATTATTTATATATTATTTTAAAGTTGGTTAGTCTATTTTAGATTCTGTACAAAAATTATGTGGGATCGATATTTGGTTAATCAATTAATTTAAAATACTTAGTTGCTATAGGTACTGTGAAAAAATGAAGAAATCTTAAATTTAAAGTTTATTACTACAGTCGTGTACGTAGTTTGATCATTAGGAATATTGAGACGTAAGAAATAATTTGAAATGTTTTCCATTATTCCATTTCATTAAATATTATAGGTAATTATAAAAACTAAAACAAATGATAAAAATAAATTCTATTCCAAATAAAAACATAAATAGTATTTTAATCTTTAATTATTTTGAATTAAAAATTCTATTGATAGGATAATGTAGAAAATGTGGGTTATTAAGTAGTTGTTTCATCAAATATTGTGCAATTCTTCGCAGGATAATGGTGTGTTATATTTGAAAATTGAAAACTATGATAAATCAATGCATAGCTTTATAAAAAGTTTAAACTTTTAGCATATAAGATTTGTTTAATATTGTTCACGGGCATTTGTTATTTTATTGTTAGTATACATTTTAGGTAAAACACATATATTTATAAAAGAAATATTTATGCTGAAAAAATCTCTAATAACACGATAAGTACACAATATATAGACTGGATATATAATTTAAAACTTACGATAATTTCAATAGATTATTGAGTGCGTTATTAGTAATAGCAGTAACTGTTAGCGTATTATTGATACTTATAGTGTATAATTTATATTTTAAAACAATCTATTTAAATTAATTAAACTTTTATAATTTGAAATTGTTATAAACATTATACTTTTATCCGATGGGATAAATAAATACGGGGTGTGTAAATGTTTAGTTACTAAACTTTAGTAGTTATAATTCCCTATATGAAATAATGTCTAATAATACTATTGTAAATCCAATACATACGTTTTGTGTTATGTTTTAAATGTATAAAGGTACAGCAATCATGATTCGTGTTGTAGTAAGAATGTACTCGTAAAATACGTTAAAATATAATATTACCTATTGTTTGTGAGTGAATGGTCGTATAGGTAGATAGTTTGTAGACAAAGAGGGGAGAGAGGTAGTTAATTTTCTGTTTTCATTGTACAGAGTGTCTTACGTAGACGTAAAATATATATGTATTTAAAATAAATGTCAATGAACAATTTTAAAAATTTCACAAATACCACATTCCATATTTATACATATAGGTAAATATTTTATCCGTATTACTATGTAGTTGTAGTGCAGCTGTAGTGTAGCGTAGCCTAGATTTTGCGTAGAAGGGACTGATAATTTGTTGTATTGGAAAAGCTTATTAGAATCCCTCATAAGTTTTGTATGCTGAAACCGTTAGTTTTCGTATATACAATTTTTGACTTTAGTTGTAATTTTTAATTTTCGATACCATCAATTTTGTTTCTTTGATGTAACTCTAAAATGAATAAACTTAAAAATTTTACCAAATATTTATATTGTTTTCTGTTTACAATAAAATTACTAAAATAATTCCACGAATTTCGAGTTATTTATAGGTATATACATTTTTCAATTTTTCAGTATTTTTTTTTTTTTTTTTTAAGTGTTAATTAAAAATTATTTTATGGTTAAAAATAATCTTTGAAAAGTTAACACAAAGCTCATTATAAGTTGTTAATTTTTCTTTTAAAAAATATCGAAAATCTATAATTTTTTTGTAATTAAAAATTCTTAAAAATTGTTTTTTTTATATTTAAGATTTAAAAATTTAATACAATATTCTTTATTAGTTTTTCAACATATATATGAAAAAAAATTGTACTGAAAAGCCAAATTAATTTTTTATGTGATTATTCAAGTTCAAATATTTACGATATTTAATATTTATCCGTAAAATAATTATTTTTCCTCAAACAATTTTAGATGTTTTAAAAATTAAATAATTACAATGAATTGTTGAAATTGTTACCAAATTTTTATACTGTCATTATCCATTATACGATCAAATTTTAAATTTTTTAAACTTTTTGGGCTATTTATAAGTATAAAAAACTTTCACTTTTTTATTTATTTACCATATATATCGATAAAAAATTAATCACTGAGTCAACATTTTTGAAAATTTAATTCAAGATCTCCACAAATTTTATTATTATATCTGTGTAAAAATATTAAAAATTCATAGGCACAATATTTTTATACTCATATGAAGACATGAAGTTAGAATTTTGTTGAAATAACAAAAAATGCAAATTTATAAATTCATAAAAAGTTTTCTTTTTATACCTGAGTTTTGAAAATTGATTACAAGATTTTTCATAAGTATTATTTCATATTCAAAACTATAAATCTAAAAAAAATGTATAAAGACAATTATATTAATATATAAATTTATTTATATGGTATAAATATGTATTATTATAATAATATAATAACCGAATACCTACTAATAATATAAAAAATGCGGTATTTTTAGAAAAAATTGTATTAACTAACTATACTATTAAAAGTAAAATAAATGACTTTATTAATAGCTTTATATCAAAAATATCATTTGGTGATATAGGTTAATAGACTGTATTTGCTTAGATTCGTTTTATGTATACAATTATACATAATTGAATTTAAATTTAACACACCTATAACTCACTCGACACCTAATGTACAGTAGAGCGGTACTCACTTACCTAAATTTTTATTGTATTAATTGCATCAAATTAAATGCACATAGATATTATCATTACGTCCTTCCAATCAATAACATTTATCAATACAGATAAAATTTCTAAAATAGCAATTGAAATTGACAATAATACAATGTTAAATGTCAAGTAAAATCTAAAGATACCAAATATGCACTAAAATGTACTTAAATAAAAATAAGATTTAAATAAATACAATATAACAATTTTACTTTTGTATTCTATAGGTCACAAAATGAATATTTATCATATTCTGCTATTATTAAATTAAAAAAAAATAAAATATGTAATTGCATGGACATTCTTTGTTTAGTTATTATTCATAAATAATGCTTATAATATATATTTATCTGATAATTTACCAAGAATTTTGTCTCTTAATCTTCCCTTTAATTATGTACATTTAGTTAAATTCTTATTTTGAGAACTCTTAAGAAAATGCTATATCACAACGAGAACGTAATTAACGCTCCAGAGGTGATGTTGTTTATCGTATCAACTATATGTACTTATAAAGACTATATTTTTAAATACTTGGAATTTTGTTATACCATTAAAGGTTATATGTGACCTGTAGTTATATATACAGAAAATTGTTTTCAAAATATTGATGTATATAAATCGGGATTCGAAGAAGGATTTTCCGAGTCATTAAACCTTGTGTAGGTACTAAAAATGATAGTCTATGAGACTATGATAATAGTCTTAAAAAATATAAAGCCGATGATTTTAAAATAATAGTATCTAATGTTACTATTTTAAAATCTTGTAATTTATGAATGCTATGTTAGTAAAATAAGTACTACAAAGTAAACTATCATAATAGTATTTTATATTTATAAACCATTATTATTAAGGACATCATACATAAAATAGTTAACTAATTTAGAAATTACTATCTCGAATTTTGATTCAAATAATATATCAAAATTTTAAAATTCTGTGGTTAACTCTAGTAGAGCAAATAAAACAGTTGTCATTTTTAAAAGGAAGTGTTTATTATTGCAACTGGTGTACAGGACAATTTTTCTTAAATTTTTAATGATATAGAAAAACAAAAATTATTTGAAAATATAATCTGCAAATAAATACTTAAAAATCTCTAAAATCAGAAACTGAATAAAAACATTATTAAAGTATAAAAGAGGGGTGAACATTCTTGTTGAATCATCCTGTATTATACGTTATATTATTACATGCGTCTCAATTCAGTACATTTTCTATCTGTGGTCGTTGAACCATTCGTAATGTACAATTTTTGTTTTTACTTATAACAACGACTATAATATCATGATACATCAAATTTACCAACATTTAAATCTACTTGAATGCATTAACCAAGAAATCAGGATAATGTTATTCGGTGTTAATCGATTTGTATTGTAACTTGGACGTATAATTTTTGATAAATAAAAGAAAAATAATTAGCGATTGACTGTTTATAGCCGGCCTCAAAGTAGTATAAGATGATGTTTATGTTGATATAGATGGGTATTTCACGTACTTGTGTAATTATAAGAATATTTTTTTCATTTTAAATATTTTATTGGTAGGGAGCTGTAGATATCGGGTGATAATAAAAAAATATTTTGAGAACAAAATGTCAAACCACCAACAAAAACATTCGATAATTTATGTCTAATAGTATTTTCATAAATAATATAATGTTTATAATAGCTCATACAAAATAATAATGTGTGAAAATTTCAATGTAATTTTTTTTAGCATCAAATAATTTAATTGGTCTATTGTAAAAGTAAAGTGTAATGTACAATTTTCATGATTATATTTTTTTGAAAAATAATACAAGAACTATTCAAATACAATCTTCTTAGTCTTAAAGTACAAACTTTTCAATTAGTTGTATCTAATTTCTATGATAAAAATTTAGATAAAGGTTTGATTATATTATAAGGTTTTTATTATTGTCACCTACCTACGTAAAACAGGCATAGATCATATGCCACGGTCCACGAATTGTTTTAGCAATATGCCAATACATCACTCATATACTTGCTAATTTAATACCATATTATGTGAACAATGCGGGTCGTGTAACTTATTTAACATTCAGTGAAATTAATTGTAAATAAAGTAATCGCTCGCAAAAAATGTATTTGAACTGATCATACATAATTTAACTAATTTAAGAATATAAATTCGGAAATTCGTACTTATCAAATAAGATTAAAACATTATTAGAGTAATCATTGTTTTATATTTTATAGCTCTAGAGTAAATCATTAATTATTAATTAAAATATGTTGTAATTTGAAAATAATATATCTTCTACATTATAGGTTAATTATTAATTATAAACTGTAGTCATTTATTTTTTAGAGATTTCATATTTACACATCTCCAAATGATTAATATCTAATATCTTTAAAGTTTAAACATATTTAATCAATGCTTGTACTTACAAGTTACAATCTATACGTATTTAATTTAAAGATACCCCAAGTTATGGAAACATAATATTCATGAACATAATTTAATGATGAGTATAAATTATTTATTATAAGGTTATATAAGTCGTATTAGATGATCAGGGACTAGATTCCATTAGTATTTTTATTTTTATTTTAACGTTAAAAATGTACTTTACGATATAAAAATGTAGAATTTTAATAGCAACCATTTAAAAATATATTGCTTACAGAGGTTCGGGAGCATGGTGTTGGTTATTATTCATTTTCAACGGACGTAAAAGAACGTCATCGTCAGCAAGCTGAGCTTAAAAAACTTCGAGAACAGACTAAAACCACGCAAATTTCCGTACAAAAGCTCAAGGAAAAGCGTGCCGCACAGATGGCTGTCCGACTTAGAGCCATTAAGCGACGTAAAAAGGAAAAACTCGGGCTTCCGATGGATTCCAGTTCGGGTAAATTTGTACTCATTACACTATTGTAGTTAAATAATACATGACGTTCATATTTTGGGTTATAATTTTTAGATGAAGAAGCGCCACCACCAAAAGCTCCGTCCCCAGAGATTGTCGAAGATATAGATGCCGAACGAGCATTTGAAAAGTTGAGAAAAGCCGCTCATGTCAGACCTTGGGATCACGGGAAGGATGGATTACAAAAACCTTGTATGTTTGTTTTTTATTTTTTTATAATATATTTATTATAATTATAATTATTTTCACGAGATTGTAATTATTATGGTATGTGTTAATTATATAGCTGTGGCGTGTTTTGCTTATAATATTTGTCTTTTACAATAATTTATTATTTTAGTGTTGACTCAAGAAGAGTGGAATGAAAAGCAACGGGCTGAAAGGAAGCCAGATTTTGCGTGGAATTACGACGACGACACGAAAGTGCCCAAACGCCGATCTAATAACTTTAAACACGTCGACGAAGATGATAACGAGGATGACGAGGACGACAACGAAGATATGGTTGGACCGTCGTTGGATATGTTCATTGCACCAAATAATCCAAATAAACAGAGTACAATTACGCCGAAAAATTTCAAACAGTTTATTCACAACGAGTTGGACGATGAACCTACGGCCACTAACATCAATCCGTCTTATGACGACGATAGCCATTTGGATAGCATTCCGTTACCAACTGAATCTAAGAAAGGAGCAGAAATTGCACCACCTCCCACATACGAATATTATGGACCAAGTGGGCGAGGACCAAAAGCACAAGACAACTTTATTAGTGTTAATGAAATGCAGGACTCTATTTCCAAAGGATTTTCAAACGTAAAAAACATGAATAAACCTCGATCAGTCAGAGGTATCGTGGACGATGATGAAGATGATTAATAGCAAATAGATTTCAAGATGTTACCGAATGAAAAACATTATACTATTATTATGTATGTAATTTGTTATAAATATAGAATTATTTTGTGACACGATAATTACAAAAATGTCTTATAAACTGTAGACTCGTATTATAAGAAATATTTTTGAAAACAATAATATAAGTATGTAAAATTGTTAAGATATAAAAAGTAATTTGTTATTTGAATTTTCTATTATGATAAATGAAAAAACAAAATGTTAATAATTTATCATTACAATTTTGTGTAATTTAATAAGTTTACACATTATTTTTAAAATAAATAACAATTATTATATATACGTATTTAAAAACAATATTTAATATATTATAACTGGAATAAAAACTCAAAATAAAATAAAATAAATAAACATCTAAAATAGGAAATATTTAATATATATTACATTAATTAAATCTCACTCAATAATCATTAAATAAACAAAGAAATATAATTTATTTGCCTTGAGATAAACTTTTAATAGCCTTTTCAGCTTCACTATCAGAAAATTTCAAAACTGCTGCTATTGCATTTACCATATGTTTCCGAATTTTATCATCAGCTGTAAGAAAATAACTTAATGTTACATTTTTCAGGTATTCTAAATTAGCACCTTCTCTGGATTTACAAGATTCAAGTCTGAAAATAATAAATTAAAATTACCACTGTTTTTTTTTTTTTTTTTTTTTAACAATAAATAAATAAATAAATAAATGTACTACCTACCTAATTAACTGTTGGTTTAGTTTATCGATATCCATTTTATACTGCTGCTGCATATCAGCTGTACTTTTCTGTAAGTCTCTGTATTTAGATTCTATTTTAGACTTGGATTTTCTAAATTTGGATATCTCCATATCTTTCAGAGCTAATTCATGTGCATAATGAAGTAGATGTGATCCTTTTTTACTAGATTCTTCATCTAAATATTCCTGGAACTAAATATATATAAAAAAAATCACATGGTTTCAAATAAAAATATATTTAAATTACTTACCTCTTTCCTTGAACCAGTTGAGGAATGTGATGTTTTTCTATTATATTTTGTAGAATGTAGAGTTTCACGTAAAGTATTTAGTTCTAGTTCTTTTTCTAACACTAGTTCTTGTGCTTTATCACGTTGTTTTAATAATTGCTGTTCTAAAATTGATATCCGTTTACGCCATTCCAAATCATTTGTCATATATTTTTCTTTCCAATTATTATTTTCCTATAAGTAATAAATCAATTACAGATACATTAATAATTCTGTTAAATTTAACAATTAAAAAAAATCTATTTACTTGATTATCTTCTAATTTTTCCTTGTATTTGCGTTCCAGCTCGTCTTTTTCAAATTGTAAAGTATTGATGTGTTGTTTTAAGCCTTTTACTTGGTTCAATAAGACTGAATTATCTTGTTTAGAAGACAAATTATTTTCTTCTTGTTGATCTGAATGTTCAACGTGTTTCATTTTATAATCATAAATATCAAAATCTAAATCTTTTAATATTAAATCTGCAAAACAAATTAATAAAAGTGAAAACAATTTTTTCAAATTAATAGAAATTAATGCATTTACCTTCAATATTTAAAGGAACTTCTGATGTCTTAGCTAAATTTAATAAAAGAGTTTTGAAATGCTTGAATTTTTCAACTATTTCAGATACAGTATACTCTTCATTATTTTTACTTTCATTTTCTGTTTCTAATTTTTTTATTTGTTCCTGTTATTAAAATAAGTCAAATTAATTGATATATAAAAGTGTATATAATATTTATGAAAAAAAAAAAAAATCATGATTATAGGCAATTTTTATTATTTTTATATAACTGCTTATTTTTAATTAATGACTGATTAATAAATTTAATTGTTTGCAAAAATGTAATTTACAATACAATATTATTTATTAATAGACATTAATATGGTACTCTACTTGATTAAATATGATAATAAGATTCATCTTCTACATACTTAAAACTATAAAATATACATTAACAATGATCCACTGGGAAAACGAGTGGTGAAACTATAAATTATTCATCTTGAAAATTTTATGAAGTAAAAATAATGATAATCCAGATTACATAATAATAAATAAAAATAATTAGTATGAAATTGTTTTATTAATTTTTAATTTTTTTTATACATAAAAAGTTATTAAGTAGAAATATAATCTAATATAAAAGATTGATAGCTAATAATAGGTGTTTTTTTCCACATTGTTAAGTTATCAAAAAAAAAATTCTTTATCTTTTTTTTTTTTTTAACTTTTTATTTTAAAGCGTACTATCTGTAAATAAATACAATAAGTACGCATTAAATTCTTTATCTAGACATTTTTTTGGTAATAATATTGCATAATTGTATGTTTTTAATTATATTTGTTGTTGCATACATTTTAAATATATAAACTATTGTCAAAATTAGTTACAGATATACTAATATTTAACAACTTAAATAATACATTTTGAATTTCAAAATTAAGGTTTTTGAGAAGAAAATTTTGATAAGTATTGATTCATAGTAGTAAAGTTGATTTACACAAGTTAAGATTTGAGTTCAATATTTAATAACTAATGATACATTCAAGATACTTATTTCTACTTCAGTCATAGAATTTGGGAAAATATCAACAGACTATTTATGGTCTTTTCACCTCACTCACACAAGCTACTTAATATTAATGACATTTTTTTAATGTATTCAAAATCATACACAATGTGTAGATAAATACAAATATAACAAACCTTTAATGATTGTATTGTCAGTTCATCTTGATGTCTTATCTTATCATAAACACCAATTGAGTTTGAAAGTTCTGTTAAACGTGATTCTAAACTTGAAACTCTCACTTCATGTGCAATGGCAAGTTCTCTAGCTCGATTTTCTGCATCTGCTGCTCTTTGTTGTTCCTTTAAAAAACAATAATAATTATCAACTTTAATCAAATAGTAATAAAACATGTCAAACTATATTTTTTACTTGAGAAATAGCAATTGAATGGTTTTGTCTCACTACTTTGACTTCATGTCTTAACTGAGATAACATGCCAGATGTTTCTTCTTCTCTATACTTTAATTTTTGTTTAACATCTTTTAGTTCGTCTTCCATATCTTGAGCATATTTTTTTAAATTTTCATTTTCTCTATGCACATGAACAATTTCTTTTTGCAAACTATCTGCTAAAGATTCAGCTTGCTCTTTTTGCCTACGTTCTTCAGCCATTAATTTTTGTAATTCTCTCATCATAACTCCATGGTCATTAAAATCTTTTTCTCGTTGTAATCGTTCTTTATTAAACTTTGCTTTAATATTTTCCATCTCTAATCGTTGAAGTTTTTTTAATGTATCCATTTTATTATTCAATTCATTAACTAATTTTTCAAGCTAAAAACACATATAGTTATTACTTTGATGATTTACCAGGTACTAAAAATCAAACATACCTCACATATTTTATTTTGGAATTTTTTTTTTTCATCGGCTGCAATTTCTTCAGCTTCATTTTTTTCTCGTTGTAAACTAGCAATAGTATTAACTAAATTAATAAATCGTGATTGTTGAGAATCATTAGACACCTGTTAAATACAATTGTAAAACTATTGAATATAATTTATGATTTGTAAAAATTATTATTTGTTTTACCTCAGAAGTATCAGTCTCCGATGCATCTTCTCTGTCATAGTTTGAGGATGCCTTTAACGTATCTTCTAAAGTTTTTTTTTCTAATGTCAATTTCTTATAGGCAACCACCAAATCTATAAAAAAAAATACACAAATATATTAAAATATTTGTATCCCATATAATGTCAACAAATATTTAAAAATTATTACTGTGCAAATTCTTTTTGTATTTTTCTAATTCAGACTGTTCCTTTATTGATGACTGACTATTATTTTCCTTCTGTTCCATTTTAGTATATGATAATAAGGTATTAAGTAAAATGTATACATACGATTTTTTGTGTATGTATAATTTAAGAACACACACACACACTCGAAAACAGTACTTAATGAATTATAAACTTAATACAATATAATATTATTTATTAAGTAACGAAATATCTGTGAATCAACAGAAGCACGTCCAGTTAAAAAAGAGAGTGTCTTGAATATTAATACCGTTAAGATTTCGTAACATCGTGGGTAAGCATTTGAGCAATATATTGGGACATAGCCGGCATAGCCCATAGATGAGCTTTTCAAATTCCAGTTTTCATCAATGTAATGGTAATTCAATATATTTTGCTGCTACTGTCATCAATTCCGTACATAGATTGTATTATCAAAGAGTATTTTACTATCATAGTTCTTTACTACGTATATGGTCTATGTTTACTATATTATATTATGATAAGAAGAATGCCAACATTACGTGCATTTAGTTGCCTATGCAGAATATTTGTAGGTCAATATCTATGGTATAATCATAAATATTTTCTTGCCCACAGATTTACTTTTCTCATATCTACGATCATCATTTACTATCCTCATAATCATATCTCATGAACTATATTTACAATGATGATAGAGGTTAATCAAAGGATGTGTTGGCGAATATATTATCGTACAGACGTATAAATAATGAATAGGTACTTAAGATTTAAGTCATAATTCATAACAATGTTTGTAAGCAAATAAATATTATTACCTACGCCAAACTATTAAATTTTATAAGCGTTCAGTCGTTAATGAGTGGTAGGTATACTTACTAGTTCTGAGTGGAGCGATAAATGTATTGATTTTATAATGATGGGTGGATTTTTTATTTTTTTTTTTATACTTGTCATACAGTCTGTCATCATTTTTTGGAGCCAATAAAAACATTACAATTTTTGACTTCTGCATAAAATTTTCTGGTAAGAAAGTGAATTTTGTTGGTACCTTAGATGATCAAAAAAAAATAATTGTCTACTGGTTTTCTAAAATGTTGAGAAAAACAAAGAAAAATTAAGGAAAATATGTATTTTTAAACAAAATTAGTTTTTGATAAAATCGAATTTGTTTTTTAATTTTTATGGAGTAACTCAAAAATGAATGGCTGTAAATTCTTAAATTATTTACAAATTTTTTATTATAGCATTTTCTGTACTTGGTACAATTTTAATAACATATTGACTCTTTTTGAAGATTAT